CTGAAATAATAAAGAACAATTTTAAATCATTCATTCCCACTAACAATATTACTCGTATGGGTGTTGTGAGGGGAATTCCTACAGACTGGTCAGAGGAAGAGATTCTAAAAACTATAAATGTACCCATTGGATGTGGAGCTATTCTTAGGGTTGCCAACCGTCCTGTTTTCCCAGGACATGTCCTAGTTTTTGTAGTGTCCTGGGGCGTCCTGAATAGATTTTAAGCAGCGTCCTGGGTTTTTAAATTTATAAACTTCGTGCGCCTCTTCTCAAATTTTTACGCTACATGTGATTATTTTAATTACTTGAATTTCATTTCGCCTGTTTTCACTAGATATTTATTTAACTATCGCAACTCTATTAATGCGTCCTGTTTAAAAAACGGAATTGTCCTGGTTTTTCCAACTTCAAATCCTGGTTTTTTAAATTTGAGGTTGGCAACCCTAGCTATTCTTAAGGTAAGAAGATTAAATAAAAAAGTAATTAATAATGGCAGTACAAGTTACATTCCAATTGAAACAGTAGTGCTCACTTTTGACGGCCAAGTCTTGCCAAAACGTGTATACTTATGCTATAATTCTCTACCTGTTGATCTTTACATTTATCCAACTATAGTATAGTTACTATACAATGTTTTCTATGCTGTCGATATGGTCACGTTAAATCACAATGTAGGTCTTCTCCCCGTTGTTTCAAATGTGGTAATGGTCACTCTGGTGACAGTTGCAATGTTGAAGAAGAAAATGTCACATTTTGCTACTAACCGTAAATGCCCAGAGTTTTTTAGACAAAAATGTATTAAAGAATCCATGGCCAAAAGTTGTCTATCATATGCAGAAGCTCAGAAATTACATCCTCCTATTCGTAGATCATATTCTGATGTTTTGTCTACTCCAATATCTACTACATCATCACAAATGAAAGTCTTGAATCCAAAGCCAGAAAATGTTAACAAATCTTACAAAAAAACAGTTTTTTTAAAACCTAAAGCTCCTGTACAGCTTGGTAAAGGATTTGACAAAAATGCTCATGCGAAATTAACCAATGAATATGAAATTCCATTACTAACAGTTGGAACAGGTTGTAATTTCAACTCCCTTCAAAACTTATCAACTCGTGATTTAATTCTCACCCTTGTAAATTTTCTTCTTCAATCTTCTCAAGTATTATCTGAAAATTCTGTACCGTCCAACAATGCCACTTTTACTGCAAATCAATCTCTAAACAGCAACAATAATGGATCAGTCACAAATAATTCAGTGGAATTGTCGCAGCATTAGCTCTAAGAAAAGTGATATAATCTATCTAGCAAATTCATATCAACCTTTTTTAATTTCATTACAGGAAACCTGGTTACGTCCCGGTTTTAATTTCCGAATTCCCAAATACTCTAGTGTTCGTCAAGATAGGTCAGACGGATACGGTGGAGTAGCAATTTTCATTAGAAATGATATTATTTTTTCTCAGTTTACTATTCCAAATCATAGTTCAGATTTTTCAATTATTGCTGTTACCATTAACAACATATGTTTTGTTTCCCTGTATATTCCACACCCCTCTTCAAATGTGTTTAATGAAATAGAATCAATTTTTTCTATACTTCCCAATCCAATTTCAATCATGGGAGATTTCAATGCCCAGCATGTAACATGGAGCAGTTCCAATAGTAGTCATTATGGCTCTAGACTGTTGGATATGGTCGATAAGTATAACTGGTGTATTTTAAATAGTGGTGAGGCAACTCGTCGCTCACAACCCCAAGAAGGAGTCAGTGTCCCCGATCTTTCAATCTGTTCACCTAATTTAGCTTCTATCATTTCTTGGAAAACTTTATCTTACAGTTATGGTAGCGATCATTTTCCAATATTAATAAATTTTCCTTTAGTAACTTCTAACTCTCGTACTAAAAGTCGCTCCCCTAGAATGAAATTTAAACTTGAAAATGCTAATTAGTTTTTGTACAAACAGATAATTTCTAACCTCCCGTCTATCCAACAAAACAATCATGAAGTTTGTGCAGAAGCCTTTGCATTGACTATGTTGCAAGCTGCAGAAAAGGTGTTCCCAGTCAAAAATAATAATCGTAACAAGATTCCATCTCCCCCTTGGTGGGATAACGAGTGTTCTTTAGCAGTTAAAAAGAGGAAGCTTACAGAAAAAATATATAGAGAAAATTCTACGAACGAAAACTTTGAGTTATTATCTCGTGTAATGACCGAAACAAAGAAGCTTCTTAAAAAAAGAAATGGGAAGGGTGGAAGACCTTTTGTGTAACTATCACCTGACGTCTCTTCTGTAGTTTGGCAAAATATACGGCGTTTTCGATCAGCTTTTAAGGAACCTGGCGCAGCTTTTGTTCCAAAAGATGTACTAGACAACTTTTTAGATAAACTTGCTCCTCCGCTAGTTCCCAATTTCTTTATCTCTCATACTCTTTCCCCAATAATTAATACCAACAGCTTAACAAATCTCGATTCTCCTTTTAGCCTTGCAGAGCTGAAAGGTGTTTTAGCCTACGTTAAAGATTCTGCTCCAGGAACTGACGGTATACCATATTCTTTTCTCTCTCATTTAAACGATTCTAGCCTTTTTTATTTTTTAGAATTAATTAATTCCATTATGATTTCTGGCAATATTCCTACTTCGTGGAAATTACAAGAAGTAATTCCTATTTTAAAACCAAATAAGCCTCCTTCTGATGCTAATTCATACAGACCAATAGCCCTCTCATCCGTTCTTGCTAAATTAACCGAACATCTAATAAAAAATCGATTAGAATGGTTTGTTTAAACTCATGAATTTCTTGCTCCAAACCAATACGGTTTTAGAAAGGGACGAAGTACTATGGATAGTCTTGGTATATTTACTACCGATATAAGATTATCATTTAGTAACAATGAATCAACACTTGCAGCTTTCTTAGATATAAATTCTGCCTATGATAACGTCGATCTGCACGTATTAAAGCTGAAACTCCTAAACCTAAAAGTTCCTCTTTTAATCACTAATTTTATAATTAATTACTTGTCTGGTAGAGTGATTACAATTGATACGGGCGATTCAAAGTATAAATCTAGATTTTTATGGAAGGGTTTACCTCAGGGATGTGTCATAAGCCCTCTCTTGTATAATATTTATACACATGACCTAGATAAAGCCATTTAAAATTCAAATAGTGATTGTAACAATGTGTCGGTATTACAATATGCAGATGATTTAGTTGTATATGTTTCGGGACGATCAATTTTAGAAATAAGTAATATTTTAAGTAGAGCACTGTCCAAACTTAAAATTTGGCTAGATTTTAACGCTCTTAGTCTCCCCGTTTCAAAAAGCTGCGTAGTGTTATTTTCTAGAATGCGTCTGCCCCCTTCTGTTTCCGTATGTTTCGACAGTAAACCTATCCCGGTACAAAACGAAACAAAATTTTTAGGAGTTATTTTAGACGCTAAATTATCAGGTTTATTTCACTGCTATTATGTTACAGCTCGATGTGAACGAGTTTTAAATATCATGAGATGCTTAACAGGTGTTTGGTGGGGTGGACACCCATATACTTTGAAACTTATTTACAATGCTCTTTTACGAAGTATTTTAGACTATGGAAGTTACTTTCTTGAGCCATGTAATGCTGTTGGGCTTAAAAAGCTTGATGGGATACAGTCTAAAGCTCTTCGCTTAATAGCCGGAGCAATGAAATCTAGCCCTATCAATGCTTTACAAGTGGAATGTGTCGACCCTCCTTTGCGACTCCGTCGTCAATATTTTTCTGACAAGTTTTTGTTCCGTGCTTTGCAATTTGCTAAGCACCTCCTTCATTCCAAATTATCTACTTTTTCACATATAGTAACAACATCTTCTTACTGGAGGCTTAAGTCACTACCTTGTTTAGTTGTAAGTTTTCGTAAATTTTCCTCTCTGCATTCCCCTACTCACATCTCTCAACGTCTGTCTATTTTTTCTGCAGACTATGAAGCTTTAACTCTTGTTCCTAAAATATATTTTACTTTAGATATATCTCGATCCATTTATTCTGCAAATGTTGATTTTAATATAATCATAGATAGAGACTGGCCAGATCGACATTACATTTATAGCGATGCATCTAAAAACGCTTCCTCAGGCCTCGTTGGTGTTGGAGTTTATCATCAACAATCAAAAAATGTCCAAAAAATTAAACTACCACCTGAAACTTCTGTTTTTATTGGTGAATGCTACGGATTATTTAAAGCTTTAGAATATATTTATCTGATGAAATTGCATAAATCTGTTAGATTTTCTGATTCTAAAAGCGCGCTTCAAGCACTTCAAAAATTTTCTTTTAAATATACCAATCATCCTGTAATCATAGATTGTAGAAAATTGCTCTGGCAATGCCATTTAAAAGGTTTCGATGTAGTTTTTGCCTGGATACCTAGTCATATAGGTATTTCTGGCAATGAAATTGCTGATAAACTTGCCAATGATGCTGTGGATTGTGGAGATATTTTTCCATACAAAAACTTTATTAATGATCTTTTAGGTCTTCCTAATTCGGATCTACGTGAATCTTGGGAACAAGTATGGTCTGTTTCTAGTAAAAACAAAGGAAAGCATTACTCACAAATTCAAACTTTCATTCCTACAAAGCCTTGGTTTTATAATTTTAGATTTAGCAAGATAACGACCTCTATCATAACTCGGATGAGATTGGGTCATGTTTACACTCCTTCTCATCTGGCCAGATTAGGAATAGTTAATAGCAGTAAGTGTAATTGCGGCGCTGATATTGGCGATTTAAACCATATTTTTTTTGTCTGCTCCTTAAATGACTGTTCCTATTTTATTGACTCCTTAACATCCCTTCGTACTCCTCTCCCGACTTCTATAAATACTTTGCTATATTCTATGAAATATGATATTTATTTATGTATTTCAAATTTTATCCTTAAACATAATATTAAACTGTAAATATGTAAATACTTACCTGATCCTTTCCTAAAAATTCCGTTCCTTTTTTTTTATCCTGTTTCCCTACCTTTACATTTGTATGTGGCTGACGCACAAACCGTGCAGGCTATAAAGGAATAAAAAAAAACATTTTAATGTAAAGAATGAAAGATATTTAAACAGTCCTAACAAAATGTTTCTTTATAATGAAATCAAAAAGTTTCAGTTATAAATATCTATCTGAAAGTTTATTTACATTTTTAGTACTAGTTTTAGATTTTTATACACAAAATTCAAAGATTTTTATTTCAAATTATATTGCTGTGGAAAAAATCTTTGTATAACTGCGTTTGATTCCTTTTATCGGATACCCTGCTTACATTTAATTTATTTTACCGCCCCCTTATTAATAGCAAACACAGTATTTTGTCACAAAACACTGTGTAACTGACCCAAGCTTATTTATTCTTTTTTTTATACAACGGAGATAGCGTATTCATAGGCTTCAGTTTCAGTTAATTGAGGTTATTTGTTTTCATGATAATGTTTTCGTCGATGATTTAAGAAGTTCATAATTTTATCATGTGTGATAAATTAGAAAATACTTAATATATATATACATATATATAAATTACGCGTCACTTTGCTTGTCCCACCGTGTGCATTTTGATCCAACTTGGAAGGTAGGATAGCTGACATCTCAATTTATAAGTCGCAATATTTTTTTTTGCAAATTATTACTTTTGGGCGATACAAAGTTCGTCGAGTTAGCTAGTATTTCTATAAATTTATAAATCGCGCAGATTGCATACGGAACCAAACAACATAGCCTCTTAGCTGTAGTTATAAAATCTACGTCGTCAAAACGTGCACTGCGCACAGTGCTGGCAGTTTTGAATAACTAAAAAAACCCATTAATCATAAAAAGGAGTTCATATGGGTTCTGTTCTTTTCCGTTTGGAATACTGAACCTTAAAAAGTCACCAAATCTTTTCTTATCAAATGCATGAAATATAAATTACCCCACTTTTCGGAAAATGTTCCCGTAAAAAGTAGCCCCACAGTTGTGTTTTTTTGTTTAGAATTTTCACCATCACACTAATATTATAAAGGCAAAAGTTTGTGAGTATGTGAGTGTGTATGTTTGTTACTTCTTCACGTCTAAACGGCTGGAGCGATTTTAATAAAATTTGGTATGGAATTAGCTGACACCCTGGATTAACACATAGGCTACTTTTGTCCCGAAAAAATGTTAGGTTTCAGAGAAATTTTCAAGAAACTAAGTTAACGCAGACGAAGTCGCGGGCGACCTCTAGTATTAAATAAAATGTAATTTAGAATAATTATTATCATTCATCATTACCGGTGTCATTCTAAAAATTCTTAACTGCATTGTCCACTAACTATATCGTTTTATAGCTTGCTCAACTTGCTGTCCCCACATAACAAATAAATACAACAATCAATATCTACTTATAATATATTTCCTTGTATTATTTACATTCAATGCGAATAATTTCGTATGTCTCCCGTGATACATCTTGAACCACATATGGAAATGTGCGTATTCCATGGCAAGCTGCCCCATGTTCCCCATCTTTGGACAGTGCTACAACAGCACCCATAAAGTCTGGATAGTGATCTGCTATTCTTTTAATAGCAATTCTTGATGCTTCCGTAGGTGTTGCGCCACGTCGCATCTCTTCTACAGCCAAGAAACTGGAAAATAATAATGTGTCAATCATAGATAAATGATTGGTCTCGCTTCATTTGACTAGATACCGCCGGCGAACTTGTATAATGCGGCAACTAATACTATGCCGAAATCGGCATACCCGAGCCTTCACCGTGTCAGTCATATTGACAGCTGCGCTTTAGGTGTTACTCCCGAATATTTTAATCAATTTAGAGCACAATCCGCAGCAAAATGCCAGTTTGTGTTGTGAAACTTTGTAAGAATAATAGTTCAAAAAATAAAAAGAACATTGGGATCACATACCATCAGTAAGTATCTTATAATTTCGAAAATTCGATGAAAAATTTCATGAAAAATAAACGTCATTTAGTGTTGCCAAGTACGCAATATAAAAAAAGTCCCTTTGGTTGAGATTTTTAGAATATAAATATACTGTTATATGATCCATTTCATTTGACCTCTTTATGAAATACAAACTATTCGTGTCAGTAAATCGAAAATATTTGAAAATAAATCGGGGGGTGAAGAAATAGACCAGGGTCGATAATTTTTGAGACCAAAAAATTATAGTAGGATGAAACCCATTGGAAAAAGTAGAGAATATAACAAAACTGAAAGAAAAATATATTACGGGCGATCTGAGGTCGGGAAGGGAAAAAAAATTCAGCGGTCACATTTTTTAGATGAAATCCTTTTTAAATCCTATCCAGAAACTGCAAATAAATAATGAAAAAAACTCGAATCCGATTTTTTTTTGAATCATTATGTATAATTTTGAGCTATTTATTAAAATTTACACTTTAATTACTCGAAAAACGTAAAATTTCATGTTATATTGATAAACAAAACAATTATAAATCTATAAAACATGCAAAAATAGTTGTAGTAAGTATTAAAAATAGGATTTAAAAAGGATTTCATCTAAAAAATGTGACCGCTGAATTTTTTTGAAGTTATACTTCTTTAGGCGCGTTATGAAAAAATGATGAGAGTGAAATTTCGAGATGCGCGCGCATCACTGTAACACAATAGTAACACCATGAAGTTGGCCGCGGGCGCGTTATGAATGTTAGTGTATAATAATGGTGGATTATTAACCACTTAGTGGTTAATAATCCACCATTATTAGATATCTATTCGAAAGGTACTTTGAACGATCCACGGAGCTCCATAAGATGATCGCGTTGTCAAAAACAATGTTGGCACGCTCGTCGCCTCTGATCACTGTTTTCATATTTATAATATTTATCCACATGTTTCTAGTTTCTATATAGACACAACGTGTTTTAGTTACTTACAAGTGCTAATTACATATGGACTAATAAATAAAATATTTTACATTATATTCAACGTACATTCACATCATAAATTCGTATATTTTTAATTTGCTGGTAAAATTATTTTAACAACTTAAGTTGACATGGAAAAAGACCTATAAACACAATCATTCCCAAACTTAAGACGTATTATAATACGACAAAATTTAAGAGTAGACATGATATAAATATTTTACGTTGAAGTGTTGTGTTTTGTAATCGGTTGGTTTATGTCAGCCATCTTTACTCTCCCGATCAACCTGTTGACGCGAGCTTGCTTATTCAATCTTATTTGTTAAATTCTTGTTATTTCCTTGTTTTATTTGTTGAGTTTGTTGTTATTTTATTTACTGTTAAGTTTAAAGTTGTTTGTGATTGTTTTCTTGTTGAATTGACGTTTTCGTAGCTATAGTTATGAGTGGTGAACTGGGACCAAGCAGCACTTGTACATTTTCTTCGCCAAAGAAAAAGCGTACAAAGAGTGTTCCATTGCGCTCCAACGAAAATATTTTTAAACATGTTGAAGAAACCTGGCCAAATGATTCCTATCCATATAAAAGTGATATAATCAAAAAATCCGCCGAAATACTGAGCATATCACGAGCTACTGTTTACCGGTTGGTGAAGGAAAAGAAAAGTACTGGCCGTGGCCGTATCTCATCACCTCCGCCTCCACCGTTTAAAGTATCTTTGATGGATACATTGGACGATATGGATAATGCTGCGATACGCCGCAAAGTCCACACATTTTCTTTAAAAAGGAGATGCCCACCGTTGACAAAGTATTGCATGCTGTGAATACAGATGAAACATTGCCCAACTTTAAGAGGACCTCTTTTTTCAAGTTGATGAAATCATTACAATTTAAATATGCGAAAAGAAGCCGAAAGAATGGGCTTATTGAAAGAGATGACATTGTTTTATGGCGCATCAAATATTTAAATAATATTATAAAGCTCAGGAGCAAAGGTAGAACTATTTATTACACTGACGAAGGTGAGGTTAGTAAAATACAATATTAAACTATTTTATCCTGTAGGAAATTTACTTCTGAATGAAATTATATTTCCTTTTGTATTCATAAACTGATAAACTTAATTCATATTTTTTATTGTTTATCATCACAGTACTATAATATATTAATTTCTATGCACATAATTTTATTATATTTTTATAAATATTGAATGATACTTATTATTTTCATACCATGTCTTTATCCTGTGAAAATATTACTCAAGTATGTTGTGTCATGTTACCAATTGTATTAAATTATTATTGTTTTTATTTTTCATAAGTTGTTAATGAACTTATGTTTGTTACAGGACACACTATGAACAAAATTTGTCAAGATTATACAATTAAAACTGTGAAAGAAGCTCATCGAGAGGGATTGTCAATAGGATTGAAAAACCCAAGTGGAAAAGAGAAGCGTCTGATTGTACTGCATATGGGCACAAGTCAAGGGATATGTTGGTAAAAATTATAAAATATTTAAAATGACTGAAATTAAAAATCTATTAGCCGATGCATTACAATCAATCACAGCGGAATCATGGAAACGGGTCATTGACCATGTCATAAAAGAAGAGCAGAAAATGCTAAAATTGGATGGTATTGTTGATGATGTTGTGGATAAAATTATTATTAAAGTTGGTGGCAGTTCATCCAGTGAGTTGTCAGACAGTGAATAAATATTATTTGCAAAGTATTATGCTGGTTTCATTTGAAATACACATTTTTTTATTATATTTATCATCAAGACAGAATTCATTATAATTTTAATATAGGTTACATAAATTATACCTAATCATTGACTAGTAGGTACTTTCTGACATTATAAAAGTTTTAGAACCTCAGATTCTTTGTTTACATTTTGTCTCAAGCCAAAGTGAATAGACTATAGCTCCCGGGACCAATGACCTATGAAGGCCGACACCATCAAAACTGGCGTACATACCACTCAGACCACGGCGGCAATAGGCAAGGCGAAAGATTTTGAAATCCTCTTCCGTAATGCAGATAACCATTTACTGTTTACAACAAAACCTTTATTTCGGTAATAAACTAAAGATTTTGGAAGTTTAAAGCCATTTTTATAATCATTTTTAAATATTGCGCGAAAACAGGTCGCCGTGTCATGGCGTCGTGTGTGACGTCATACTTACGTAAACGTCAAATTTTAGACAGCAAAGTAAACAAACATTGCGTATTTTTTGTGTTAAAAATGAATTCAAAAGTTTATAAGTGGTGTGCAGTGCCTCAGTGCAAAAATACATCAATAACGACACCCAACAAGGTGTTTGTACATGTCCCATACAAGAAAATAATAAGAGATAAATGGTTAAAGCTTGCACGGCGAAACCCGAACGATGTAAAGACAAATTCGCCACTTTATGTCTGTGAAGATCACTTTGATGTGAGTATGTTATCATTTATTGATAGATTTTTAACTTATTATATTGTTTGTTTGACGTGAAATAGTTGAAAGTAGAGGTTATGGAATAACTAGTCATTTATTGAGGTTATGTTTGTGTTAGCCTTGGTTATCATTCTTATTATCAATTTTAATTGTTAACTTTGCATTTTTCAGTTGCCAAATGACATGGAAAATTTTATGGAATACCATGTGATGGGGTCGGTATCGCAAGTACGTATGAAACCAGGATGTATGCCCACAAAATTTACTTGCCAACCAGGCAGGAAAACACACACATCCAACACAACGGAGCGACCCTATATAGCTAAAAAACGAAGGATGATGATTCTTGAAGAGTGTGAAAAGCAATTTGAAGAAAGTACTATAGTTGAAGAGCCATCAAGTTCAAAAGAAATTGCATCTTGTAGTTCAGGTATAGTTTACTAACTTATTTATTATAATGTTAGTTCAATATTATTGCATACATTGTTGGTGTACTTAGGCCCATATTACAGATTATCTTATATAGCGGTGTTTTAGTATAGACTATGGGTATTTAACTGCACTTAAGACTCATCGCAAAACAACATAAATAAAATATAATTTTTACCTCTCCATGAATTAAGATCAAAAAGACATACATATTTTCTGACATACAGCTGCTATTGTTTTTTCTTCTAGTTCAGTAATAAAGAGGTTTTTAATACTTAAACAAGCAGCATCCCTTTGTATAAATCTCAAGAAATTATCTATGTTTGAGATTCATTCTGTGATACTGGCTATAAAACTACATAGATTTTTTTGTAACCTTGTAATTTTCTATTTGTGTTCATAATAATAACATTGCACTTAAATAACAAAACATTTGTTTTACAGTTCAGCAGAATGTTGAAGAAGTTCCCCAATTACCACCAAGAATGTTGCATAAATAAATAATAAATAAATAAATATTTCCAACACTCACACCAATTAGCCTAGCCCCAAACTAAGCACTATAAGGCTTGTGTTTTGGGATTCTAGGGGTAACGGATAGAATACATATACTGTACATATATAAGTATATTTATATAGAAATACATGTTAAACATCCATGACTGGAGTACAAATGCTCGTATTCATCACACAAACATCTGCCCCCACCGGGATTCGAACCCGGGACCTCTCGAGTCGGCGACACCATGAAACTCGGCGTTCTAACCACTCGGCCACGGAGGTCGTCAATAAACAATTAATTAATATAATAAATTAATATAATTAATTAATATAATAAAGCAATTCAAGTACACATATG